TTTTCTTTTCCTCTCTTCCTCCCCAGCCCCATACTGGAGAATCTGGTAATTGAACAATTCATTCAATCTGGGGAAGACAAGGTCTCTAAAAATTTAATGTAAATTTGGTGGAGTTATAGGAGGGTGCATTTCATTTTTTGCATGCATGAGGTTGGCGACAGCAATTTATTTTTAGTTTTTTTTCATGCAGGAAATGATTTTAGGAGGGATTCCCCAGAAGCAGACCCTGAGACAGACACTTGGGTGCAGGTGATTAGCTAAAGACGTTCTCCCAGGAGAACTCGATGGAGGGTAGGAAGGCAAGTTGGAAGGAGCCAGGCCAGGGGGCTTCAAGTGCAGTTTCGGCTTCTGCCTGGCCAGCGGGAGCCCTAGAGCCTAAGTGACTCTGCAGTCTTGGTCTTGCCTCAGTCATAATTGCTGGCTACAAGCTGCTCAAGGGGCCATGCACTCCCTGGCTCTCCAGCTGCAGCGACTCCTTAGCTACTCTTCTGAAGAAGGCTGCAGACACTGGGGACAGACCCATGTCTCTAGGATATGGTCAGAGCAGAGACAGTGCCTCCTCCAGGTAGCACCAGGAAGACGAGACTGATTTACTTATTCTCCTTGATTCTTGGCTCATTCTCGTCCCTGGTCTGTGCAAGACTCTGTCTCATTTCATTTTCTCTGCTCTATCCCCAAGCCCCAGTCCCCATCCCAATTTGTCCCCACTGTGACGTGTGGGATGGAGACCAATGACCATTATAACATGTGGGGCTGTGTAAGGTTACAGTTTTCCCTAACCCACCTACGTGTGGGGCAGTGCCATAGGAACCAGGTGGCTTCAGTTGGGGATGCCCCACACAGGCCCTCGGGGGGGAGGGGAGGTGCAGCCTCATTCCCTAGGAGCATGAGAAACACACCCAGCTGCAGAGCTGGCCAGATGACTTCAGGACAGACAGACATCTGCATCAGAAGCACAGTGGGCCACTGGGTGTGGAGCTCTATGACTCTCCTGCTGGCCAAAGCCAGCCTGACCTCCACAGAGAGCACCACAGAGAGGCCTCAGCCATTGCCAACGTCACATGGGTGGTCTGCCCTTGACAGTTGCCAGGATGCTGCCACACCCAGTGGCCCACTGAGCTTCTGATGCAGATGTCTCAGTCTGTCCTGAAGTCATCTGGCCAAGCTTTGTAGCTGGGTGTATGAATTTAGAGGGATGAATTTAGACACTGCCCCTTCAAGAAATGGAGTCTGTCGAGGACAGAGCCTAAGCGCTCTATGGGCAGCAGTACCCTCTGCTCCCTGCAGCCAGCTGTGGGAAGCAGCGTTGGGAAGAGCTTGGGAGGCCCCAGTCTTCCGAACAGTGGCACCGCCAGACAAGTGACGTCCAGCCCCAGGCATCAGGCCAGACGCGCAGGAGGAAGTCAGGGAGGGCTGAGCCCCCAGACCTGCACATATATTCAACTCATTCCTACCATGTGGCTCCCAAGGGTGCCTGGTGGCCAAGAAGACTCAAGAGCGAGAGGGCTGGAACAGGTGGGAACTTCCCTCTTTCAGTTCAGAGGTAGAGTTTATTATAGGAGCAAAAAGACTCAATTCCAAACCTGCCCCGTGGTGGCCCCATCTGCCCTTCCTCTCTGACAGGCAGGCTCAGCCCTCTGCCTGCGCTGTGGGCTGTGATGGTCCTCCACACCCAGCGGCTCTGTCCCTCTGGCCATGCTGGTCCTGGGCAGTGAGCCTTGCTGTGGGCACACTGCTCTCGACATGAGAGTTGGTGTCGAGAAAGTCATCGCCCCTGTTCTGGTGGGTAACAGGCGAACAAAGGCAGGGGCCAAGCGAGGGCGGCCCTCAGAGAGGAAAGAGGGAGAGAGGCGTTCAGGGAGGAGCAGAGGCACAGAGAATGCCAAGGGCCGTCCCAGGGTTGGCTCCAGGCTCCCTCTGCAGCGCCCTATGGTCTTAGCCTTGGGGTCTGGGAGACCCTCCGCTGTCCCCCACTTTTGCCTTTCACATTTTCTTTATGTGGGGACTTCCTGCTCATCCTTCCTGATTTAACTCAAGCCCTTGTTCTTCAGAAAACTCTGCACCACCGTTCCAGGCTGGGCTAGGTGCCCGCCCTGCACCCCTTAGGTGCGCTTAGGCTCTGTCCTCGACAGACTCCATTTCTTGAAGGGGCAGTGTCTAAATTCATCTTCACAGCCTGTCATGTGATACAAAGCTTGCCAGAGAACTCAGACAGAGTTTCAACACAGAGTACTTGACAGAGTGAGCTGCCCCAGAGGTCCAAGGGGAGGGTGAAGTGGTTCACAGCTTGTGGCAATTAGCAGCTAGCCAGTCGTGGGAGGGGAGCGAGCATGTCGGGACTGAAGAGTGGTCAGGCGGGATGTAAGAAAAGGGAGAATAAACTAAGCAACATTTTCAAGAAATTGGGCTGTGAAGAGGGACAGGGTGGTACTGGGTGAAGAATGAAATGATATATCGAATGACAAGAGGGCCCAGGCCAGCAGGCTGTGGCCACAGGTGAGAGGGTGGCCACAGGGCAGAGCAGCCCACAGTTCTGCCAGTGCAAAATGTGAAATGATAGATTTCTGGGCCTTGAGTCCAGATGTCACAACCTTGTTGTTGGGGCAGAAGGACTGGCAGACCCAGGACTAGACTAGACAAATCTCACAGGCGGTCAGGAGCGCAGCGCGCCGTAGCAGGACATCCTTCCTAGGAGTTACTGCGTGGTCCCGAGCTGCCGTTGGGAAAAGCGGTTAAAACTCTAGGTCCGTTAATGGCCTCGACACCATTTAGAAAGTGTCAGAAACCAGGGTTAGCTGGGGGGAAGGCATCCAGGAGAGTAAGAAGAAAAATGAAGGTGACGTCAGGGCTGGGGAGAGCCTGGTCTCTGTGGGCAGTGTGACCCAGCGGAGCCAGTGGCAGTTGCTGGGAGCAGTTGCTGGCGGGACTGTTGGAATCTCAGGCAGTTAGGGGCTGGTTCTGTCCCCAGCCACTGGAGGGAGGGATGGTGACTGCCAGAGGAGCGGCAAGTGCCAGGCTGGTGCTGGGCAGGGGAGGTCCAGAGGATGGCAGGCTGTTGACACACTCCTCCCTTTTTGCTTCCCAAGTCCCAGCCCCACACTAGGTGTCAAGGCCTGAGAATGGGAGGCTGGAGAGGCCAGCACTCTAGGGGGCAGGGAAAGAGCAGAGATGGGGCACAGGGCCTGGCCTCAGAGGACAAGTTTGCTCTCTTCTGCCACCTCCCACTGTCAGGCTGCTGCTCTGCACACTGAGCCACTCACTTAGCTACCTCCATGAGGCCCTGCAGAGAAGCTGCAAAGATAGGGGCCTTTGTAGGGAGATGTTGTTCTGGGCAACAGCCTCTGGCACGTCTGTTGGACTTGACAATAATTTTGGCTCCTGTTTCCCAAAGAACCTGGCTTTGGGACAGAGACACAGAGACACAGGGGTTCACCCCCTCCTTCCCCAAACCTCACAGCCCTCACTGGGCCCAGTGACTTCAATCTACTCTGCACTGAGCAGCTAGGATTGGAAAACAAGCAAAGGAAAGCCATGTTATTCCCTCTTAAAGCGCTTGAATGTCTTCTGAGACTTCCCTCATCTCCAGCCAGCTCTTTAACGTCCTGCTCCAGCCCTGGGCTCCTGCAGGGCACAGCGAAGGGTGCCTCCTTAGGGGTTCCCTGTCTAGGGTGCCTCCCTGCCATGCTCTGTCTCTGCGTCCTGCTTATTCACTTAACGTCCTTGTCACCAAGTCCGCGTGCCTCTCCTCTGTGTCTGCAGGAGGCTGTCTCATTCACCCAGCACCTAGTGCACCTTTTGTGCATCTGATGCGTGTGCTGAATCCAAGTTTCTCTTTTTTACAACCTAGCCTGTATTCTGCCAGGGGAAGGCTGCATATTTTTTTCTTGCTTAAAAGGTTTTGGTAGCTTCGATTTCTACAGGCTAAAGCGACAGTGTGTCAGTTGGACTCGCCAGAGCTTCGGGCATTTCCTGCCACTCTTTCCTGGGGGGTCAGAGTGTCCCTTGGACACACCAGCTTTTTCTGGACTTTATTCTCTGGCTTTATCTTTTCCACACTGGATGCCTCCTTCTCTTCCAAATATGTGATTCTTTCTAGAATGTAAGGGCATATGACTACACATGGGCAGTGATTTTTAACTGTTTTGATCACTTTTGTATCCTTGGAGCATTGGGTAGTACCAGGCACATTAATAAATATTAATTGAATGAATTAATCTTTTAAAACATGGTGAGGAAAATATATAGGCTATCTTTAGTCCATGAAACTTTCAGACTTCCTAATAACGAAAACAATCAACATGGAAGTAACATTCCTAAACTGTCTTGTCAGTAGCTTTGGGTTATTTGAATGTTACTTAATGTATCAGCTGATTTCTGCCTTATTTTTAAACTGAACTGAATAATCTGTTACAACTCCCACAACTGTTACAAACTCGTGAGAAATATCGTGCAAATGAGTTCTGTCATCTCCCAGGCTTGGGTTTCCTTTATCAGCGCTGATGGATTCAAAGAGAAAACCCTACGCATTCTTACTTAATTGTTACTGGTGGAATGAATTGGCAGATAAGATGCTCAAGACGTTCTCAAGACTGCTTGGCCCTCCGAGTCCCCCTTTTGTCTACAACTGAAACTTCTCCATGAGGCATCTGTCATTTCCACTGAATAGATGACTTCAAATCTTATCCCAGCTCTTTCCTTCCTCTTATAAAGTGAAAGAATGTTACTAGAACACAGCTTTTTTGCACAGCTAAGAATCTTGAAGCTTGACAAATGCTTTTGTTAGCCATGCTCCCAAATTTTACCAATATAGCATTTCTATTAAGAATACCATGATTAATAATTATCAAAACCATAATAATAACTATAGCATATAAAAAAGTATTCACAAACATGCTATGATGACATAATTATACATTTACAAAATTTCTAACAAAATAAATTTAATATATTTACTAATTAACCTATAATTTCACTATACCAGTTCAAAAAGTTTACTTCTGATAAATGCTGGCTTTAACACTCAAGACTCTTGGTTGCAAGTGACAGAAACCCTACTTAAACTTGTTTAAGCAAAATAGGGGATTTAGTGGATCAGACAATTAAGAAGTCTCAGGATGTGATGGTTTTGAGCTTGACTGTATCTATGGGCTCAGATGTCATCCAGACCCTTGCTGTGTCTCTAACCTTCACTTTCTTTCTGTATTGGCCTCATTTTTGAGTAGGCTCTCCATACGTGGTGGCAAACATGGCTTGTCCTGTGTCACAGCTAGTTCTCTAACCCCCCAAGAGATGCTGCTTTTCTGGTAAGTCCAGTTCTGGGCAGAGGTGTGACTGGACACACTTGGCTCACATGCTCTGAATCAGTCACTGTGCTCCTGTTGGGCTGCCAGGGCAGATGCCCACCTCCCCAGCTAAGCGCACAGATCGGCGTCCCCTCCCCCACAGCACCAGGACCATGAAGGAGAACAGGGTGGTCCCTAAGTGGGTCTTGGGGAAGGCAAAGTAGTTCCATATTTAGTTACAGAATGAATGAAGCTGATGCCTCTTCCGAGCTCCTTAACATTCCAAGGAAAACGTGGATGGCCTTTAAGCCATATTCTTCTAGGTTATAATTACTTTGATAACTGCTGAGGAAGGCAGAGTGCTCAGTGTTTCAGGCATGGTTGCTAGAAAGCTTGTGGTCCTTCACGTGTCTTCCACACTGGCACCTTCAAGGTGCTGATTTTGTTCTGTCACTTCCCAAAGTGTTTGCTGAGATGCAATAACCCATTACACAAGAATTCTTTGTACCAGGGCTTGTTGATTTATCTTGTAACTGTTTAAGAATAGGTTTGGTCTCATACCTTGCACCCAAAGACTGCCAAGTGAAGGTGGAAAAGCCACGGTTCCAAGTCGGAGACCCTGGGTTCACATTTAGGTCTTGATTTCTGTAGGTTTGGTGACCAAGGACTAGCCATGTCAACTCACTTTCCTGACTGGCAAAACTTGGGGGGGTGGGAGGGTGGGCATCAGTTTCTTCTACCTTTGAAGGTTTTGCAGAGATCAAATGAGATTATGCATGGGAGAGTACTTTGGTAAATGCAAACAGCTATGCATATGAAAGTCGTATCTTTTATAATTTTATCTGATATGTAAACAGTATGCCCTCAAGATAGTTTGCTTGAGTGAGTGAATTTAAGTGTTTTAAATATTATGTCTACTTAATAAAGCTCACATTTATGTTCAATCAAGATATAACTACCTATTCTTACTGCCAGAATATGTTGCAACATTAGGATTCTCCACGAGGCACTGAGTGGCCCAGATGGGAGACGGAGCTCCCAGTAGAGATCAGGGACCCTTGGGACTTCCCCTTGAGGGATCTGCTGCGTAGACAGGCTTGGTTTTAGGCACCAAGCATGACATATAGCCTGTGCAGGTCAAGAAGTGACACAGCTCTAGCCTGTGACCCCCAGGCATGCTGGGTGGTGCTGAGGTGGTGGCGCCATTTCTGACAAACAGATGGTTTGGCCCAGCAACTTTTGTCATGCTCCTCACTTTAAGTGGCTATTTAAAAAGTTGTTTTCTAGAAGCAAAAGAAGTCCTGGGTTGAAGAGTTCCCCTCAGCTAAATGCATTACATGATCTGGGGTCCGGCCTGGGGGAGCTGCCGTGGACAGGGACAGTCCTGGGACTGAATTTGTGCTGGGATGGGCAGAGTTAATATTTCTTGAACTGAACTGAAAAGTACAGATTTTAAAAGCTTATCTTTCACCTCTCCCTTAGCTACTTGGAAGAGTATTGTGGCTGTAAAGCGCCTGAACTTTGAGATGGAGCTCAGAAGTTAAGCTTGTCTGCCTATCTGTCCACCTCGCTTTCCATCCTTCTGAAAAAAAAAAAGCACAAAGGGGGAAATTCTTAACTTTCTAAAGAAAACACTAATGAAAATATGAGTCTGAATGATAATCAGATTGAGAGCCAATTTCAGAAAAATCTGTTAACGTTCCTTAAAAGAGAGGCAGAGAGGAGATGCTGTTGTGTTTCGACTGCGTCTTTTGGGGTAAATGTGCTGTGATGACTTGTACCCCAGGGAAGTCGTGATTCCCGTTGGGTGAGACGTGCGTGTGCACTGACCATCGTGCCCTGAGCCGCCAGTGCCACTCTGGTGCCTGCCAGGCCCGCGCCAGCCAGCGAGTGTGGTATTTGGTCCACGCAGTGTTCTAAGAAAGTCTGAATTGGTTACAGACATTTAAAACTTGGGACCTTCCATAAGAAAACTGTGTTTCTGGCTTCTCTGGAAAAAACGAGAAGACCAGGCATCTGCAGGCATGTGTCCACATGGCGAGCATGGGCCGCAACTGAGCATGGCCCCCGGGCCTGAGACTGCCACTCTGCTGACCGTCTGTGACGGGTTGGGTCACTTCAGGTCTCCCGCTGGCCCCTGTAGTTATCTGATTTGTGACCCTTGATGCTAGCATCTTCCCTGAAGGAAGGAGGCTGCAGGACAAGCTGTTGAAGACTTGAAGAGCTAAGCTGCCACAGCCGGCGAGGAGCCAGGCGAGACCTGGCCCCTGGGAGCTGTGCCCAGTCTGAGCCTCGGGGCCACACCTACACTTTGTAAACTTGACTTTTCCGTGCTGTTTTTCCATGTTTACTCATGTGATCAAAGTCCTTTGGGAAACAGCAGCCTTTTCAAGGTGGGCTGAGGTGGACACCAACAGAGTGGGGAGGCGGAGGGCGGGCAAGGGTCCCAGGCGGCAGCTGGCCTGGCCTCGAGGGGCTCAGGGATGAGCCAGCAGCGCCACCTGGCCTCCTCAGTCTTTCTTTCCCCCCAGGAAAGACAAGGGTCCTCTTTGTTTGTTTATTTATGGGGCAGTTTTGCTTTATTCACATTTAGAGAGAAAATTTTGTTGGCTGAGGCATGGGGCCGAGAAAGGAATACAAATAAGAAACCGCGGAGAAGGAAAGGAAAACTCAGAAGACAGGAGATAAGAAGTCCCTTTCTTCTTACTCTTTGCAGAATTTTGAGGGTTTTTTGTTTTGCTTTGCTTTTTAATGGAGCTAAAAGCACATAAAAACCTTACAGAAGGGAAGGGATTCACAATATGGTGTGGGAGCTCACATGTTACATGTTCTGAGTGTACTCAGTTCCTCTCTGCTCAGGAGGAAGCTTGAGCCACTCCACAGGCCAGTCAGGTGGGGCGCTGGGTAGACATTTAGTGGGGGCTCTCACGCCATGATTCCCTGACTGAACCAATTAAGAGCATCCCAACGTGACAACCAGGAGCCACAGGCAGACGTCACCACCAGGCACTGACAGGGTCCCTTGCCCTGCCCTCCTGGGAAGTTCCACTTGGTGGCCTGGGTGGGCTGGGCTCTGACAGACACACAGGTCTGCAGCGAGGGCCAGGCGCGGCCCTGAGGTCCTGCAGGAACCAGGAAGGGCCCAGCACTCTCAATGTCCTCACTGTCCTGATCTTTCCTAGATCCCTGTCACATCTCCTAGGTCTTCCAGATGCTTTCTTGGAAGTCCCTTCTAACCTGCTCTGTTTTCTTTCTGTCTCATTCCTCAAAATTTCCTCAGCTTGCATTCTTGTCATGGGGAAAGAACTTCAGAAATGTTGCCAAACCTGGGGTGCCTGTTCTCCTCAGCAAGAGCCCTGGGGTTGGAGCTAAGAAGGGCCTGACTCCTCAGAGTGAGTCAGCCAGGATCGGGAGTCCCTGGAGTGAGAACAGGACTGCTGGCTGTCAGGTGCCCTTCAGAGAGGGGACTCTGATGGGAGACATTGACCTTCGAACAAGAACAAAGCCCCACGCTGCATCTCTGTGTAGAACCAGAGGTAAAAAGGGAAGAATAGTAAGAAAATTTAAGATCCTTGTTTGTAATGAAAGACAATGAATGACCACAACTGCCTTCTGTGGGTGGTGGGACGGGGGTCACCTCCATGGAGGACTGTGGGGCTTGCCGAGTGACACAGGTGGAAATGGGCAGGCTGAATGGCACTGCAGCTGGGTGGGCAGAGAAGACTCTGGAGCCTGCCAGGCTGGACCCTGTGTCGGGGAAGCCAGAGGCAGCGCCGTCCTTCCCAAGAGCCGCGTGGATGAGAACGGACTTTGAATGAAGGGAATGGCCAATATGGACACTTAGCTTTCCTGCCAGGATTGGGGGAGGCACACCAACTCCACGTTCCCGGGAATAATTTGTAAAGTTCACGTTGCTGACCAATGCTTTTGTGCAAGTTGGTCCTTTTGGGGAAACATGAAGAGAATGTTAATTTCATGACTCAAAGGGAGTGGGCGTGATTGTGGCTGGGTTGGGGGCATGGGATGGGGGACTGAGAGCAACCATGATGTGTCCTTGGGAGTTTGCAGGAATGTTGAGGAGACCTTGGCTTCCCGTGGCCTGGCCAGGTGTGGGGGTGAGAGAGGTTCGGAGCCTTCTGTGTGGTCAGAATTGCAGAGCCTCGGAGGCTCTGCAGATGGTAAAAGCCACGTTATTAGTTCCTCTCATATTGTTCTTGATCTTCAGGGTCTGAGAAGAAAGTCGGGGAGAGGCTATCAGTGCAGAAGTTGGGCAAGAGAGGTTGTTAGAGGGGGTCGGAAAGTCTCAGATAAGAATGCCCGTGCCTGGCCGTGGACCGTCTGAAACCCAAGAACACCAGCATGTTTTTAAGGCTTCTTCCCACCCTGGTTTAACAGGGCAATGCACCCACTGACCTGCTGCTTACCTTTTGCTTTGTTGAAGGGCAGGGTGTCCCAATGCGCCCACGCTCTTAGTGCATTTGTTGGGCATAGTGGTGACCGGTGACTACCTGGCAAACGTGGCCAGGCTCTGCCCCCGAGGGCTGTGCTCTCTGGACCTCCTGCCTCAGTCTGTGAACTGGAAGTGACAGCAGCCTCTACTGCCCAGGGGTGTGGTGAGCATTAAATGAGGTAAGTGTCAAGCGCTTAGCACAGGGTAATGTAGTGTGAGCACTCAGCACAGATCCTGGTTCACAAAGAGAGTGGCTGGTTATTTAATAGTTTCATTTCAGACCCTTGTGAAGAGAGCAGGGTGATATTCCAGACACCACTGGGGTGCAATGAAGGACCTTTGACCCGCCTTGGTTGGGGCCTCCCTGACCCTAACTAGAACTGTTGCGTCCCCCAGACAGCCTCACGCGTCCATCCTGTTTCATTTACATTCAGCCTCGCTTGGGTCATGGCCTGGGTGGCGTCCGACATGCACACCACCCTCACTCCCAGGCATGTATTTCAGGGGAAACCCACTTTAGCCTCAGGGCGGAGTCAGAACCTGATTACCAAGGGCCAGGACCAGTTCCCGGTCTCCTCCTAGCCTTCCCACTCGGCTCCCATCTGGTGGGGAACTTCAGGGAGTGCATTTTACTCCTGGGGTTCATGCCCCTCAGCTCTGCATGTGGCCTCTGTCCGGGCGTCTTTGTACATGCTCTTCCCAGTTTTCGGAAGGCTTTCCCTCTTCTTTCCAAATTACCAACATCTTCCATGTGCTACTCCCTCCAACAGGGACATTAAAAAATTTCTTCAGCATGTGTATTTAAACACTGAGGGGAACTACAAAATTAACTTAGGACCATAACAAAGCTGCCTTTCCCCCCAAGACCAATAAGCAAATGTGTGCTCAGACATCTCAAAGGCAAACGTGCGGCCATGTTACCAGGTACCTTCCTTGTGATGCTTCTGTGGTGACCTGGCCCCTTCTCACGGCCCCTGCCCAGCTAGTCTCCAGCTCTTGAGCACTGGAATGGAATAACTCAATCTTACTTTCCTTCCTTCTCCAAAGCACCTGAACATTCACTTTGGTATGGTTGAGCGTGATTGGCTACTGTTTGGTGGCAATGTGCTAGAGAGGAAGACATCTGGAGTGACATATTTGCAAGTGGCTCTGTGGATTTTCTCTTATGTAAGGTGGGAACAACTTTAATTTGGATTCTAGTTCCATTGCTGCCACTAGCTAGCTGCAGGTCCTTTGGCAAGTATTTTATGTATTCGCCAAAGGAGCAAGTCACTTAGCTTCTCTAACTCATAATTCTCACACTTATGAATATGGGAATTAGACTAGGAGGTATTTCAGGCTCCCTTCCATGTCCAGATTCTAGACCTGGTTCCTTTTAGGCCAACATCACCATCACCACCATCACCACCACCATCACCACCATCACCACCACCACCACCACCACCACCACCACCACCATCACCACCACCACAATCACCACCACCACCACCATTGCCACCACCACCACCATCACCACCACCTCCACTGCCACCACCACCATCACCATCACCACCACCACCACCACTATCACTATCATCATCATCATCATAACCACCACCATCACCACCACCAGGTTGTTTACATTTAGCTTTTTGAATAGATGTAAATGGAGGTTAGTAGCATAATCTTAGTATGATGCTATAAGAAGCATCATTCTTTCCACAAGGGAGAAAAGGTAGAAAGGTGAGAGAAACAGTGGCTCAAATAAGAAACTAAGAAGTGGATGTAGGAGAGAGGAGAGGGCTGCCGCGACTCTGTACTGTGCAGTCCTCTTGTTTGCTGCCAGCTGTGCATGTGAGTGCTCAAAATAGCAAATTTCTCATTTGTAAGAACTGGCCTGAAAAAGAAATTTGGTGATGAAAGCAAAAAGGGCAATGAGTAGGTCAAATACCAAATTCTGCAAGGACTCCAGTTTGTGTTATATCCAAATTCAACACAAACTCCAGATGGAAAAAGGAAAAGCTACTCCATGAAATTTTCCAATGACAGCTCTAGTTAATGCCAAAAAGCGTGTGCAATGGGGAAAATTACGCACTTCAGAGAGTCTTGGAAGCTGAGGCTTTCTAGGCAGATTTAGGACATGTCCCTTGTAAATGGCAAATGGGCACATGAATAAAAAACAAGATTCAGGTACATGCCAATTGTGCCTTGAGGAAAAAGGCAGTAATCTTAACCAGCAGCCTCCGTGAACAGCTGTGGGCTCTGAAAGCGTCCTTGTAACCATTCTGTCTGGTGTGCCAGGGACCCACATGCCCATGGAAGGCAGCAAGGCACGTATCTGCCTATCTTTTTCGTTTCCCTGTCAAGTCGTTCTAGTTTATGTGGGTGGGTCTCGGCCTCAGTTTCCCTGTCTTGCACCCCAGATCCTTGCTAGCTGCCCTGAATACTGCCCTGAAAATTCAGCTTGTGTGCTGGAGACACTGAGCCCTACCTGACTCCTGTCCTGTGGGCAGGAGCACACTCTCCTTCCTGCTGTCGCGAACGGACAGTGTCTGGACATGAAGTGCTGCCCCCAGAGGGCCTCCTGGGCTGTGTTCTCGATGCCTTGCCATAACCCCTACAGCAAACCACTGCAACCGCAGCATTGCTAAGCCTGAATTTGCCTGAGTCCCTGGGCCTCGCCGGGCCTCTCTGTGGATGCAGATAGATAGAGCCTCTTTCAAGTGTCCCAGGGCCAGTTTCCATAATGCACTCAGAACTGGCTTCCTTTCCCTTCCTCAAGGCTTGAGCTGTCGAAGTGGCATTATTGTGTTTTGTGGTTGAGCCCACACTCTTTGGAAGTGCTTGACTTCCCTGGGAAACTTCCGGTGAAATTTCCCTGAGAAGGAAAGTTACTTTTATGTTTGAAAACAATCTCAAACTCCGTCTTGCTGATATGAACTTTATCTTTGAGTGTTCAGGGCTTTAAAAAAAATTAACTTAAAAGTAAAATTAATTGATGACTTCAGGAATGATACATGGGGAAGAAAATGAATAAATCATTGGTTTCAGAGAAATGTGTCACTAGCCATCAGCCAACGGGGCCGTCAGGTTGGCAATATTTTTTAGATGGAATGTACATATTTATATCAGCTAAAAATGTTTGGGGATATTTGTATCTTTCATAGTTTTTAAGTCTTGATATTTGCCCATTATACCTTTATTTGGGCACATGGCGAGCTGGAGGTAAGTGGTGTGGGGCCCGTTAGGCTGTGCCTGTGTGAAGTCGTTTAGAATTTGGGTGACCGTATTTTTTGTAGTTCAAACCAGGATACTTTTGAGAGTGGACAGGGACACAACAATTACACCAGGACAACAGGCATAAACCGGGAGTGTCCTGGGTAGGCTGGGATGCATGGCCATCCTGCTGCACCCATGAAGAGCGGGACCAAGGGCTCAAGGGGCCTTGAGGCTCTGCAGAGGTGCATAGGAGGGTGTGATGCCACTCTTGCCACATGGCAGCCCAAGCTTCGAGGGCCAGGCCCTGTGCTAGCCCCTATGGAGGCAGGGGTGACCACAGCCAGGCGAGGCCTCTGCTCTCAGGGCACCTGTCATTTGGGAGAGCAGATATCCACCTTAAACAAATAGTCACTTCATTACAATTGTGTAGTTGCAATCACACAGCTGGAGAAATACTATGAATACACAAACAGATACAAACTGTTCTGCAGATGTTGGCAATCAGGAAAATGTTCTTAACGCAGTGACATTAAACTTGAGGCTCTAAAGTATGAGAAGAATTGGTCAGATTGGGCTGGGAGTGGCAGAGAAGGGAGTCAGGAGGGCAGGAAGTAAGAGTGTTAGGGACAGAGCACACTCTGGAAGGAAGGCTCCCAAGCTGGAGAACGCTGGGTCCCAAAGGACGAGGAATGCTGCCCTAGGCCTGACACTGCACTGGGATGGCATGTTTGAGGCGGTGTTCTTACAGCTAGCTGCTCTGTGGAACAGGCATGGGAAAGCCTGGAGGATGCGCTTAGGAGTGTCATGCGATGGAAATTATGGTTGCTTTGGTTAGGATGGAGGGCGTAGAGATAGGGAACAGTGGGTGGGGTTGAAGTGTACTTAGGAGCCCAAATGGGCAGAACCCTACGCCTCCTGGGACGCAACAGGGGAAGAGGGAGAAAGGGGTCAAGCGTGAGTTCCAGGCTGGGCATGCCGGGTCGGAGGCAGGGGACGCAGGGACTTGTGTGGGCAGGGCAGGCTGTGCGCCAGCCTCGGGACCTGCTAAGATGGAGGCCACCCTTCACAGGAGGTGTGTGGGGGCCGCTGACCTCAGGGCTGGAGCTCAGCAGAGAGCGGCCGGCAATGGAAACATGGGCGTCACCAGCACCTTTGAAGCCACAAGACTTGGGAAGACCTTTGAGGAGAGATCACAGAGTGAGAACTGAAGCGAGTCAGGGCAGAATTTTGATAAATGCCTATGTTTAAGGAATGGTTGGGAGGAGGAGGAGGAGCCCTGGAGGAAACTCAGAAAATGTGGCCAGGGAATCCGAGGGTAGAGCGGGAGCGCGG